GTGCTGAGCCTGGGGGTGCTGAGCCTGGGGGTGCTGAGCCTGGGAGTGCTGAGCCTGGGGGTGCTGAGCCTGGGGGTGCTACGCCTGGGGGTGCTACGCCTGGAGGTGCTGAGCCTGGAGGTGCTGAGCCTGAGGGAGCTGGGCCTGCTCGTGTGGCGTCTGGCGGTGCTGTGCCTGGCGGTTCTCCGGGTGCTTCGTCTCGCCGGGAGCCACTCTCTCCACAGGAGCTGCGTGAGTGGTTTGCCCGGCGCTGGAGGCGAGCTGCTGGAGCTGGAGGTGCTGCGGGTACCGGAGGTTCTGCTGCTGCTGAGGGTGCTGGTGCCGCGGGTCGCGGAGGTGCTCGTACTGGGAGTACTGGAGCTGCTGGGCCTGCGGGTACTTCTGGAGTTGGAGCTGCTGCGGGTGTTGGCGCGGAGGCTACTGCTGTCGGTCATGGAGGCGGTCCTGCTGGGGGTGCTACTGGTGTTGCTGGAGGTACTGGAGTTGGAGGTGCTGCTGGTGCTGGTGCTGCCGCTAGGGGTACTGGTGCTGTCCCTGCTGTGTCTGGAGTCACCGTGCGGCCTCGGCCGTACTTCGTTCCGCTCCTTCAGCAGGTTCTTGGTCTCCGGCCTTCTACTGGTCCTCCTCCTCCCTTAGAGTGTCCACATCCTGTTCCGTCACAGTTACAGTTACAGCCGTCCTCCCTACTGCCTGCTCCGTCTCCCTACACTGGTCCTACTGAAGGTCTTGCTGAGTGTTGTGAGCCTGCGTCTCGTCCTGCGTCGCCTGTCCATGCTGCTCGCACTAGTGGTCGCGGTTCGCGTCAGCGTCCTCCTCCTGTCCCTGGCACGCACCGGATGTCTCTGCGTCTGTCCACTGCTCCTCTGCAGCCCCTTTACCTTATCCTCCTGAGTCTTCTCTTCCTGCTCTTGCCGACCCGGAGTCGGACTCTCTTCGTGCTGCTAGTCCTACTGTCACGCGTCTCCTTGCTACTGTTGTCACTGACCCTTCCTTTGAGTCCTCTGCTGCGTCTGCCCTAGTTGCTGAGCTCGTCGACTTTGCTGCTCGCTGTTGCCTAGACTACGCCGCCAGTCTTGTTGCTGAGTCTGAGTCTGTCTGTCCTCCGTCCGTCGGGGGTGAGTGTGCCCTTGGCACGGACGTCCTTGAGGACAGGCAGGAGGAGTTCCAGTGTCTGGCTGCTGCTTCACCTCATCTCGTGTCCGTACTGCTTACCCCTTAGGGAGACCCGGATGCACTTGACATCCCGACTCCGCGCTCTTACGCGGAGGCGATAGAGGGTCCCTACTCCTCTCACTGGTAGGCAGCTATGGACGCAGAGATGGCTTCCTGGAAGTCCACAGGCACCTACGTTGACAAGGTTCCCCTGCCTGGGGCGAACATCGTCAGTGGCATGTGGATTTTCTGGGTGAAGCGGCCACCGGGTTCTCCGCCTGTCTTCAAGGCGCGTTACGTGGCTCGTGGCTTCAGCCAGCAGCAGGGAGTTGACTACTTTCAGACCTTCTCTCCCACCCCGAAGATGACCACTCTTCGGGTACTGCTGCACATAGCTGCTCACTGTGACTACGAGCTTCACTCTCTTGACTTCAGCACTGCTTTCTTGCAGGGCAGCCTGCACGAGGAGATCTGGCTGCGCCGCCCACCTGGCTTCACCGGGTCTTTTCCTCCTGGCACCCAGTGGAGCCTCCGGCGGCCAGTCTACGGTCTTCGCCAGGCACCGCGTAAGTGGTACGACACAGTGAGGACTACACTTGCGGCTCTTGGGTTTGCTCCCCCTACTGCCGACCCGTCGCTGTTTCTGCGCACCGACACTTCTTTGCCGCCGTTCTACATCCTCGTGTACGACGACGACTTGGTCTTTGCCACAGCTGACACTGCTGGACTCGCCCACGTGAAGTCCGAGCTGCAGAAGAGACACACGTGCACAGACCTGGGTGAACTGCGCAGCTACCTTGGCTTGCAGACCACCCGGGACAGAGCACGCCGCACCATTACCCTGACTCAGTCACACATGGTGCAGCAGGTCCTTCAGCGCTTCGGCTTCACGTACTCCTCGCCTCAGGCCACTCCTCTGCCTACTCGCCACTCGCTCTCAGCTCTGCCTTCGGATGAGTCCGTAGAGTCGAGTGGCCCGTACCCAGAGCTTGTTGGCTGCCTCATGTACTAGATGACCTGCACTCGACCTGACCTTGCATACCCTCTTAGCATTCTCGCACACTATGTTGCTTTTGGGAGACAAAGACCGGAGCACATGGCTGCAGCGAAGAGGGTGTTGCGCTACTTGTGCAGTACGTCAGGCATGGGGCTTGTGCTTGGAGGGCAGAGTCCAGTGGTCCTCACTGGGCATGTAGACGCTTCTTGGGCTGACGACCAGGCTACGCAGCGGTCGTCACAAGGTTACACCTTCAGCCTTGGTTCCGGCTCTGTTTCGTGGCGGGCTACCCGCTCGTCTTTTGTTCTCGGCTCCAGTTGTGAGGCTGAGATCTACGCCGGGGCCATGGCTGCACAGGAGCTTCGCTGGCTCACCTACCTGCTGACTGACCTCGGAGAGCCGCCTCGTTCTCCTCCAGTGCTGTACGTAGACAACAAGGCCATGCTGGCCTTGTGTCGAGAGCAGAGACTGGAGCACAGAACGAAGCATATTGCTCTCCGCTACTTCCTTGCTCGTGAGCTGCAGCAGCGTGGTCAGCTGCGTCTTGCGTACGTGGCCTCTGAGGCCAACACTGCTGATATCTTCACCAAGGCGCTTGCGCCTTGTGATCATCAGCGCTTCTGTACTCTGCTGGGTCTTGTGCCTGCCTTGCCTCACTTGCTCACCTCTTGACCTTGCTTGTACTGTTACATATATATATACACGTGCTCTTGCTTGTCTAGCCTTTTATATATATATGTACTCCTGCATGTGAACTGGCCTTGTGGCCTTGACCTTGTGCTCGGAATGTGTGGTGACTTTGTGATCCACCCTGAGCTTGCTTTGCTTTGCTTTGCTTGACTGGTCGTACCAATTTGTAACAGGGAAAATGCGAACTTGCCACATGAAATTTTGCAAATTGGTGAACATGTGACAATCGGCAACCTTTAGTGAATGGTATGCAATTTTTATCGCATGTGCATAAAGTACCGCCCTCTCGACAAACTCACCATCAAGAAACTTGGTGCGTTTTGGAGACCTTTAGGACGGCCACTTTTTCTACACATGAGAGGTTTGCGACATGTACGGACGCTTCTACTAAGGCGCTTATTGCGACCTTCTCCCAAGAGCCCCGCTCAGGTCTCTTCTTACTGCACACTGCATTCCCCAAGGTAGTTGCGTCTGGTTAGGTTGTTGCGTTGTGCTCCTGTCGGTCGCTCACCAGCATCTTGGTCTTCCCTCACTCATACGTCTCCGCCACATGTCTAGGCACGGTCTTGTCTCGGGTCTCCCATCCTTGCTTCCGTCGCTCCCCCCGTCGCCTGCGCCAGCATGCACTCCTTGTGTCGAGGGTAGGCAGAGTGCCACCCCTCAGTCCTCCTCCCTTGCGCCAGCCGCCACACCCCTCCAAACTCTACACTTGGACGTCTGGGGCCCAGCCCCAATTATTAGATCAAAGGACGAGCACTTCCTCCTAGTGGTGGTTGACAACTTCTCTCGCTATACCACGGTGTTCCCCCTATGGTAGAAGCCCAACGTATCTTCTACCCTGATCCCGTGGTTGCTGTTCACTAATGGCCATCGTGGCCTCCTTGTCCTTAGTCTCCACTACGACCGTGGGGGTGAGATTCGCACTGATAAGCACGGCTTCACCTAGTCCTGGATGCTTCTAGAGTCACCACAGCAGAATGGGGTTGCCGAGCGTCGCATAGGCTTGGTCAACGAGATTGCCCGCACCTCCATCGTCCATGCATGTGCGCCCTATTTCTTGTGGCCCTACTCGGTTCGTTACACCGCCTACCAGCTGAACATCTGGCAACGTCTCTATTGCTTGAAGGTTTCACCATCCTGTCGCTGACCTTGGTCCCTTGGTGTTGCGTCAGGGTTTCGTGTCTTGGACTACCATGCGCATGATCGTGATACCTCTAACCTGGATCTTACTCCTCCTCCTGGTCGTGCTCCTCCTCCTAGTCGTGCTCCTCTGGTACATCCACCCCACCCAATTCCTGCCCCACCAGGTGTGTCTCACGCTACCCTTCCTCCCTCGGTAGCACGTCCGGCGTTGTCTCCTTCACCACAGTCGTCTTCACATTCACCACATCACGGAAGGCGGGATTGGTGTTGGAGGTGCTCGTTCTAAGGGAGCTGGTGTCGGTGGTACTGTGAATAGAGGTGCTAGCACTGGAGGTGCTGGTACAGGGGGTGTTGGAGCTGGAGATGCTGGTGCTTGGGGTGCTGGAGCTGGAGGTGCAGGAGGTGGTGGAATTGGAGTTCGAGGTGCTGGTTCTTGGGTTGCTGGAGTTGGAGGCACTAGTGTTGAAGGTGCTAGCTCTGTGGGTGCTAGTGCAGGAGATGCTGGTGCTACGACGCCTGCTCCATCTGGTCACCGTTACATGAGAATGTTTGAGCATCTTCGGCACCTAGAGCAGCAGGAGCGGCAGTAGCAGGTGTAGCAGCAGCAAAAGCAGCAGACGCCACAACAGCCACTACTGCAGCGGTCGTTGCCACCTGTGAGTAGTCTTTGGACCCTTGGTCTTCCTTCCTCTCCTCCTGGCTGCTCACCATCTCCTCGTGCTCACGGTCCTATGTTTCCTCTTCCGGACTCCGCTCCCGCTCGGTCACGACCATCTCCTCCTGTTGTCCAATCCCTTTGAACCTCTCATTGTTCCCTATATGTTCGTCACTCTTCTCCTTCTCTGCCCTCGTCAGTCATCACGTTGCCTCCTTCGTCAGTCATCACGTTGCCTCCTTCGTCAGCTCTCACTGTTTCTTCACTGCCTCTCATTGATGGATACTACTGTACAGCTCGCCCCGCTGTCTCACGCGAGTTCGACTCTCTTATCACGCACTACCTCTCCCTATCCCGCATACGATGACCCAAAAGATCGAGTCGGAGCACGTCATCCGGCTTTGCATGGACGGCCGCCTACAAGCTGCTGCTGCTCAAGTGGCTGCATATCGAGGTCGTCCCTTGCACCTCCCACGTGCTAGACTTGCTGACGGGGGACATCGGCAAGCTAAAGAGGGCGCAGGCACTGGTCGACCAAGCAAAAGATATGACCACGTTCCCTCGCATCCACAAGTGGGCGCACGCTTTTCCTGTGGAGTCCCGGGTTGCACGGCGGGAAGACGCTGTAGGCATTGCGACCAACGGGTATGTGTTTTGGGTTCTTATACATCCCAGTATCTTGTCTTTGCGAGCTTCGCCCACAGCTTACACGGATGGTGGTGCACGACGATTCAAAGGCGAGGGGGAAGAAGGCGGCAGAAGAGCAGTTCGAGGGGTGGATGATGGAGGGGATATGGTGGAAGAAGGTGGATATCTTTTGTAAAGGTCTTGGAGCTGCTGCCCTTCATGGTGATGAAGAGGACAGATTCGGCGGCAAAGGGGCTGATAGGAGTGATCTACAACATCATGCTACAGCTGACGGAGGAGTTGACGACGCCGTTGGAGGGCGAGGAGTGACGCTTGAGCGAGGAGGAGAAGGAGGTAATACAGGATCCCTTGAGGACTCGTTTGGATAACAGTTTGGCATACCCCCTTCATGTGGCTGTCCACATTTTGAATATGACTATCTAGGTGGATTATATTTTCTTTAGAGATCCTGAGTGCACCCAGGTGATGAAGGTGTGTCTGCCATCACTAGTGCTGAGTAACCTGTGTTACTCTCGTTTTTTGTCCATTCAAACCGTGCAAGAGTCATTTCTGGAACATCCCTGTATCCATCCAGCTTCGCGGCTCCACACGTTTCCCATTGTTGTAGATGTACACCTTCCGACGCACCCAGTTGATCTCAGGGCTGAACCGCTTTAGAAAGTCACGCCCCAACTGTTAGAATCAACAAGAGTGATTGAACTATGAAAGAGTTGGGTACAAGTAGGAAACCCTAAACTTACTGTACCCCATAGTAACGACCCCACTACAGCCTAAACAAACTGTAGCAGATATAACATCAGACACACCCCCATAGGCAAAGTGGGGGAGAGCAAGGGGTCACAAGACCAGTCAAGAAAGGCAAAGCAAGCTCAGGGTGGATCACAACGTCACCACACACACTGAGCACAAGCAAAGGGCCACAAGGCCAGTTCACATGCAGAGGCATATATGCAACACAAACATCACAGTGATCTCTACCTAGCAAAGCAAGCATGCAGGTATATATATATATATATATATATATATCACAGTACAAGCAAAGCCTACACCAAGTGAGAAAAAGTGGGCACAAGCCCTAGCATAGTGTAGAAACGCTGATGATCACCAGACTGAAGTGCCTTGGTGAATATATCAGCAATGTTGGCCCGAGTGGCCACGTAACGCAGACGAAGCTGACCACGCTGCTGCAACTCTCGAGCCAGGAAGTAACACATAGCGATGTGCTTCGTCCTGTGCTCCAGTCTGTGCTCCTCACACAAGGCAATGGTAGTCTTGTTGTCGACGTACAGCACTGAAGGAGAACAAGGCCGCTCTCCCAAGTCAGTCAGCAGGTAGGTGAGCCAGCGTAACTCCTGTGCAGCCATGGCTGTGGCGTAGATCTCAGCCTCACAACTGGAGCTGAGAACTGAAGTCGAGCGTGTAGAACGACAAGAAACTGAACCAAAGCCAAGGCTGAAGGTGTAACCCTGTGACGACCGCTGAGTAGCCTGGTCGTCAACCCAAGAAGCGTCTGAGTGCCCAGTGAGGACAACTGGGCTCTTCCCTCCAAGCACTAGCCCCATGCCTGATGTACTGCACAAGTAGCGTAGTACCCTCTTAGCAGCAGCCATATGCTCAGGTCTGTGCCGACCAGGAGCCACGTAGCGAGCCAGAAGACCAAGAGGGTACGCGAGGTCAGGACGAGTGCAAGTCATCAAGTACATGAGGCAGCCAACTAGCTCTGAGTAAGGACCACTCGGCTCTACGGACTTGTTCGAAGGTGGAGCTGAGAGCGAGTAACCTGTAGCCAGAGGAGTGGCCTGTGCCGAGGACCAGGTGAAGCCGAAGCGCTGAAGGACCTGCTGCACCATGTGTGACTGAGTCAGGGTGATGGTGCGGCGTGCTCTGTCCCGGGTGATCTGCAAGCCAAGGTAGCTGCGAAGTTCACCCAGGTCTGTGCACGTGTGTCACTTCTGCAGCTCCGACTTCACGTGGACGAGAGCCTCAGTGTCAGCAGTGGCAAAGACCAAGTCGTCGACGTACACAAGGATGTAGAACGGCGGCAGCAAAGTGTCGGTGCGCAGAAACAGCGACGGGTCAGCAGTGGGAGGCGCGAACCCAAGAGCCGCAAGTGTAGTCCTTAGTGTGTCGTGCCACTCACGTGGCGCCTGCCGGAGACCGTAGACCGGCCGTCGGAGGCTCCACTGGGTACCAGGAGGAAACGACCCAGTGAAGCCAAGAGGGCGGCGCAGCCAGATCTCCTCGTGCAGGCTGCCCTGCAAGAAAGCAGTGCTGAAGTCAAGAGAGTGAAGCTCGTAGTCACGCTGAGCGGCAACGTGCAGCAGCACCCGAAGAGTGGTCATCTTCGGGGTAGGGGAGAAGGTCAGGAAGAAGTCTACTCCCTCTCGCTGACTGAAGCCTCGAGCAACGTAACGAGCCTTGAAGACTGGCGGAGAACCTGGCGGCCGCTTCACCGTGAAAACCCACATGCCACTGACGATGTTCGCCCCAGGTGGGGGAACGTCGTCAACGTAAGTGCAAGTGGACTTCCAGGCTGCCATCTCTGCGTCCATGGCTGTCTGCCACTGAGAGGAGTACTCACCCGCGATCGCCTCAGCGTAAGAGCGCGGGGTCGGGATGTCTGGAGCATCCGGGTCTCCCTCAGGTGCAAGCAGCATGGCCACAAGATGAGGTACAGTGGTGGCAAAGCACTCAAACTCCTCCTGCCTGTCCTCAAAGACGTCTGTGCCAAGAGCACACTCACCCCCGACGGACGGAGGACAAACAGACTCCGACTCAGACTTTGCAACAAGACTCGCAGCGTAGTCTAGGCAATAGTGAGCAGCAAAGTCAACAAGCTCAGCAACTAAGGCAGACGCAGCAGTTGACTCAAAGGAAGGGTCAGTGATAGCAGTGGCCAGGAGACGCGTGACAGTAGGACTAGCAGCACGAAGAGAGTCCGACTCCGGGTCAGCAAGGGCAGGAAGGGAGGACGCAGGAGGAGAAGGCAGAGGGACACGCTGTGGAGCAGTGGAAGGACGAAGCGTCATCTAGTGAGTGCCTGGGACAGCAGGAGGACGTTGACGCGGGACACGACGACCAGTGCGAGCAGCACGAACAGGTGACGTAGAACGAGACTCAGGCGACACAGGACGAGACTCAGGCTCACGACGCTCCGTAAGACCTCCTATCGGACTAGTGTAGGGAGAGGGACCAGGGAGTGGCGAGGCAGGCTGTAGCTGTGACTTCGAGTGGACACGCGGAGGACACTCTAAGGAGGGAGCAAGACAAGAAGGAGGCGGCTGACCAAGAACCTGCTGAAGAAGCGGAACGAAGTACGGCCGCGGCCGTGCAGTGCCCCCTGAACCAGCAGAGACAGCACCAGAACCTCCAGCAGCAGCTCCAACTCTTGCAGCACCACCAGCAGCTCCAGTAGCACCAACTCCAGTACCCCTAGTAGCACCAGCTCCAGCAGAAGGACGAGTGTCAGCACCTCCAGCTCCAGCCCCTGTAGCACCACCAGACCCAGTACCAGTAGCACCTCCAGCAGCTCCAGTAGCACCCCCAGTCCCAGCAGCTGCAGTACCGCCAGGACGAGCACCTTGAGGACCAGTGGCTCCCACACCTCCAGTGCCAACCCCCAGGTCAGCAGCGACACCAACTCCAGTGGGTCCAGCACCCTCAGCTCCAGCTCCAGCGGCACCTCCAGCTCCCACAGCACCACGGCGGCGGCGACAGTATCGAGAGTACCACTCACGCAGCTGTTGGGAAGAGAGAGCACCCCCAGGCGCACTACCTCCAGGCTCAGGACCTCCAGGCTCGGCACCCCCAGACACAGCACCCCCAGGCTCAGCACCCGCAATCTCCGCACCCCTAGGCTAAGCACCCGCAGTCTCCGCACCCCCAGGCTCAGCACCCCCAGTCTCCACACCCCCAGGCTCAGCACCCCCAGTCTCAGTACCCCCAGACCCAGCACCACCAGGCTCAGCACGCTCAGGCTTAGCACGCTCAGTACCTCACACAGGGCCAGAGTCAACAGCTACCTCGACAGGCTCGACCGGGTCTACCTGGGAAACACCTGAGGGAGCAGGACCCTGGGGAGGCGGGTGGTCTACCAAAGCAGCACCTGGCGTCAAGAAGAGCGGCGGAGGGGGGAGCGGGGCAGTACGGTAAGGGAAGAGACGGTAAAAGGGGACCGAGTCGTCAAACGTGACGTCCTGAGAGGGGAAGACACAGCGCAAGGTGGGGTGGTAAAACTGCCAGCCAGGCGCGTCAGGGACAAAGCCCAGGAAGACACAAGGAACGGCGCGGGAGGAGAGCTTGTCCGCGGACGTATCACGGACTAAGGCACGAGATCCCCAGACACGGAACACAGACGCATCGCCAACCTTTCCCGTCCAACGCACAGTCGGCGAGGTCTCCGGAGCGGAGACACGGGGCCAGAGGTTGAGCTGATGCTCGGCGTAGCGGACCGCAAACGGCCACAGAAATGGGGGGCAGCCGCATGGACCAAGGAGGTACGAGCGACCTCCATGACCAAGCCAATGCGGCGCTCAGCAACCCCATTCTGCTGAGGAGAGGCCGGAAGCGTGAACGTCTACTCAATGCCCTCCCCCTCACAGAAGGCATCCAAGAGGCCGGAGGAAAACTCACCACCTCTGTCAGAGTGCAGTCGTAGGACGGGAAGGTCCGTGCGAAAGCGCCTCTTCAGCTAGAGACGGGTAGCGCGGATCCAAGGGATCAAGACAGCAGGGACCTCTCCCTTGGTGCGCAAGGGGAAGACCATGGTGTAACGCGTGTAGTCGTCAACTACCAGCAGGAAGTAGCGCTCTCCGCCCTGTCCACGGACGCGGGCTGGGCCCCACATGTCCATGTGAAGGGTTTGCAGAGGAGCCTCCGTCGGGGGAAACTCAAAGGAGTGAGTGGTGGCACGCTGCCGCCCCTCGACACAGGGAAGGCAAGGAGGGGCAGGGGACGGTGGCAGGGGAGGCAGTGACCTGGTCAGACCAGAGACAAGGAAACGAGAGTGCATGCCACGAAGGCGCTGCATCGAAGGGTGCCCAAGGCGGTGGTGCCACAGGACCGTCTGGTGCGACAGGGTGCGACACGAGCTGGGGGCGGACAACTGACCTGACGCAGACGCAAACGCAGACGCCGCTACCTGAGGGGACTCAGTGGTCATTGTGTACAAGTCCGACCCCGGCTGCCGAGTGAAGGTAGCCAGGTGACGACCCGTCCGGGCACACGTGCAGTGTGTCACACACTCGTAGGCAAGGGTGAACACCCTGAACACCCGTGTCCTGGACACCCTAAACCCTGAACACCTGCGTCCTGGAGCGCAGAACCCGCCACCAAGTTCGTAGAGAACGAGGGGAGGTAAAGGCCCGAC